CCCATAAAAAAAAGAAGACTTGACTGCTTAATTTTTTCTTGGTAAAAAGTCTCTTGATGTTTACCATTACACTTACAAATTTGTGACTGTATTTTTTAAGTAACGCTGTCAATATTATTCATTTGACATTTTATTTTTTACAGTTGCCAGTTATGTGGTGTTTGCTATGATCGAAAGCATAAGCTAGAAGATCATTTAGCCACTGCTCATAACAAACTGAGTGATGATAGACCAGCATCTACGGTTGTGTTGAGTGATCTTCAAGCTCTAAGTAAGCCGAAAATATATTTCTGATAATATTCCTGATTGTGCAAAAAGGAACCATGTACTCGCATTACTCTATCACTAAGATCGTGCACCTTCTTTTTCCTAGTACATAAATCAACTGGAAGTAGATCAATAAATCAACAAATTGAGAATCATTTTCTCCATTAATTAACTTTTCTCTGGTGCTTGTAAAGAATCTATCTAAGTTTTTCGGGTTTCTTTGTAAAATATAATAAGTTGAACAATGCTTTTAGTTCCTTTTTGCAATAGGTGTGTCAGTAGTCTTCTTTACCTTTTTCCTTCATGAATCAAGGCTTATAATTGGACTGCGTTAAACAGAAAGGAACCAAGCCACAATAGCTATTGCCAAATATAATTGTGCAATTTAATTTTTGACATGAAAGCGGTCGTGCGGATTTTTGTGCAAATTTCAGTGAATTTTCTCCATAGTACGAAGCAAATACCTTAAACATTTCAAAAAAATCCGCATAAACGTTCTCTCGCAAAAAATTAAATTTCCCAGTTAAATTTGGCAACAGCTGATGTGGTTTTGCTCCTTTCTGTTAAATGCGGTCCAATTCCTGCTCACTAAAAAATCTAGCCTCTAAAATTGTGAGTGATATATATATGATTTTTTTGTTGGGCAGAGTGTCATTCTTTGCCTACGCATTAAGATGTGTCCAATCAAAAATGACACACTACTGCTAGTTTTTTGGAGCATCTGCCTTGAAGTTTCTGGAAAACATCTGCTCATACAAGACTAGTAATAAAAATTAATGTACATGGAATTCCGAATTAGTTCACCTCATAAAATTGTATTTATATCTTTGCCTTAAAGCCCAATTAACATGATTCAACTTTTTATATGGCAAAAGCGAACAAAAAGTTGAATGGAAAGTTGAATGCAACAAAATTTGATTCACTGACTGTTGCTGTGTGATACCGTCAAATGGAATGTCAGTTTCCAGTTCATGAAGATGCAGCTTCAGCAAATGTTCTTCGGAAGATTTTGTTTCAATTTTCTGTTCAACTTTTCATCGAATTGATATATTCTCGTTTCAGTATATCATGATCCAAGTTCTCATTCGACATTAGAGGAAGAAGATTTTAATGAAAATTTTGATAGTTATGAATTGGGCTTAGAGGCTTTAGCAGCGCATTAGTGCAATTATTTTTCACCTAACATCTGAAATTATAAAATCATATTTCATCAACAGAATAGACTTTTGTGCTCTATCAATTGTTCGCGTTTAATTCGCCTTTGTGTTTATTTTGGCAATGACAATGTTCCCGGTCAATACAGCTTTCAAGCAAGAATCCTGCATTAGGCTCACCAACTTCTCAAAGAAAAATGGTATTAGCTTTGTGCTTCCCTAATTTTTTGTTTTTTTTCTTCTTTCAGATTATTTTAATCGAGCTTTTACAAGTTAAAAAAGGCCTCCAAAGAAATGACATCATTTTCTGCGACCAGTCCATGAAATTTTACCTCATCATGAAAACTCTGAATCATGCAGAAGGTAATGCTGGTTAATTTTAAGCCAAAATTGTACGTATGAGTAGCCATAGTATTCAGAACATTTTCAGAGAGTCTAATCATGTTTTCTCTGTTAAAAAAGAAAAGAAAAAATGCCTGCTGGAAGGACTCCGACCAGGTAGTTGGAATACTCCTTGTATACGTTTGGACATGGAAAATTGAGACCAGCTTTATCAAGGGTTGAAAATCTGTATTGAGAACCGTTTGGAAAAGACGGTACACAATATCAAGAAATCCGGCGTTGTCTAAATTTCGATATTATTGGATACTAGGGGGGCCCAACCCCTGGGGCACTGCGCGCCCCCAAAGGCCGCCTCACTGCCAGCAAAATCGTCGAATTCGCCCGTTGGAGATTTATGAGCAAATAATGTTAATTGAACAACAAAACAATGTCTCAAAGAGAGATCTCAAGCCAAACAATATTCTTAATGACTTTCTCCTCACTCTGAATTTTGATTCCTCTTTCGGAAGTCGACCTTGACAAGGCCCCATATAGAGCTGTCCATGACTAAACAAAGCCTATGAAAGTAAAGGCCCACTCTATTAAAACTCTGACCTTTGATCTCTTCCTCACTCCTGCCCCTCGACCGTCTTACTCCCCTTCCTCACCCCGTCCATCGAGCCTCTTAAAAATGATTTTATTAGAATAGAGAGGATGATGTTCTCTATACCCTCCTGAGCTTGATGAGCTTTTAAAATCGAACTTTCTATATGCCAAGCGCAGGAAAAATGGGGCTGAATAGTGCATTTTTTACATTTGTACCTGCAGTATTTAGTAGAAAGGTTTCGATATCTAATCAGTAATCAAGGAGAGCTTTTGTTTCCTTGCTGGGGGGGAAGATGAGTGTGCAGTGCAGCGTATTATCAGGCATAATCACAGTCCCACATCTTCATAAGGAAGAAGCTGAAAAGCCACAAAGGTTGAAAAATCCACTTTTCAGCCTCAATTTTCTTGAGATGGGCAAGTAGGAAGTTAGATTTTAAAAGCTCATTATGCTCAGAAGGTCATACGGAACATCTTGTCCAATAATATAGAAATTTAGACGGTGTTGAATTTGTTGTATTGTGTACATAGTACTTATAATTGTGGAAAAGAACTTTTCTTTATCTAGTCATTTTAAATTGGTTTGTATGAAGTTTTATTGGCTAAGAGTATGTATGTATATACGTATATATGTAGTAAATTTCAGTTTGTATTGTTCGATGAAGTATATTCGTCGCTGATTCTGTCATGTTGCAATCATTGTTGTTTTTTTTTGAGCTAGTACTTTTATATCTTTGAACTTTGTTATGACAGGGAAGAAAATTTAAGAAAAAATCAGTTCTCCTAGATTTATGGAGCCTTTATTTTTTTTTTAAATTTTTTCTCTTTTTCCTTCTGTGATTAATGGCAATGCCGTAACGATATTGTCAATTTTTGGGATAGTATGCTGAAAGAGTAACCTTTGATGGAAAAATCCTCACCTCTGGTCATTAGACCAGCTCTTTTCATTATCTCAGTTTGACACTTTTGTATCAAAAAAATCTTTTTGCTACGGACTGATTTGGTGGCTATGTCATGGTTACACATCGCAGTTTTGGGATTCAGATGTTAATATACTTGTGACCATGTCAAATCGACGCCATAATGGTAAAATGCGTCCAGGTGTCTCTCGCAATCAAAATGTCCTGTGTTCAGTGAGTCATTAATTGATTTATGACTCGTTGGTGACAAAACTGCAATGAGTTAACACAGTTAATTCAAGCAAAATTCAGGAGTGAGGTTATGTTCTGTTGTTTTGGTTTGAACCAATCAATTGGTCAAATATTGCGAGAATGACGTCATCACTAAATCAGCCCATGAGGACCTTATGTTGATCATAGGATGCTTGATTCTTAAAACTTATAATACACTGAGTTTTATCTTGATCGTTGTTATTTCTACATTTTTTGTTGTATTCTTTAGCATTCTCATTCACTTGTTAGTTGATCTAACTTATTATACATCTCCTTCATCGATTGTTAATTCAAGCACTGCTTCTAAACATAAAACAAGATTTCTACCTGTTTTTACGATTGGGAGTAAGCTTCTCACCAACACTACTCCCAATCACTCAGTAATGAGATGTCAGCACTGCTGCAATTGTTAGTTTTATATTTTGTTAGAAATCTATTTTCATGTGTAATATTGTATATATTATCATGGTCTGAGTAAAAAACGTTTATTTTTCAGACAAATAAGTATTTTTTTTCCAATTGTATCATGTTTACTAATATTTCCAAGTCCCAAAACTCTATGGACAAGTGACAAATGAGTCCTTTTCTGCCATGCTAAGCAAGAACGCCGTGAATCCATTAAGATTTTCCTTCGTTATATGGATCTTAACACTTTATAACATAAAAACTGTTTTACGCATGCACTTCAAATTTTCAAGTTAAGTTCTTGATAGTATTTGCGAAAGAATTCTGAAAAAATGCTGTCACAAGGTACGCAAGTGTTTTTGCTGCGATACGTTGTTTCCAAAAAATGTAAAATGGCGTTTACAGCGTTTTTGCGTTGCACGGCAGTTTTCTTGTAAGCATCTATTTTAAGATAACTATCAAACAACTGTGAGTGACTCATGATCCAATGAATTAATTGTGTGTGATGTAGGAACATATGAACAATTCAGGATTTTCGACGCTGTTAAAGCACAGGTGCTTGTGAATTATAAGCTGCTAACTTAAAAATATTGACACCAGTAATTAAAATATCATCGAGGACATCATTTTCTAAATTCTTTATTTCAGTAAATCCTACTGCGGACCGATTATTGAAATTGATAGACAAAGCTATAGACAAAGAAGACATAGGGGGTATAAAGCAATCCTATTGGTTGAAATGGGTGGTTCTCATAGACTAAGGGGGAAAATGATAGACTATCGGGTCCCTCGTAGGTTGCCGTTAGTTAGTCTATTACCTACCTTCTTTGTCCATTGAAACTACCCGCTTCTACCGATAGGATCCCTCCAAATCCTTTTTGTCTTCTTTGTCTATTGCTTTGTCTATCAATTTCAATAATCAGCCCGCTGCTGCTCTTCTCGGATTTTTAAAAACGTGACTACCTTTCCAACTTTTTGATTGCAGGGGCCAAGCACACATATTATGATAATGGGTCGAGTTTAAGTAAACCATCTCTTGTAGGCAGAAGATTGTTGACGAAGTTCCCTGAATCTAATTGTAATTTAAGACCGAAATCTTTTAAAACGTATTAGTTAGCGCTGAAAGTCCATAGAATATTAATTCTGTTCAACTCAAAGAGTATTCATCAACTTTTTGTCTAATACTCTGGGAAGTTTTCTTTTAAAAAGCAAACAATGATCAACCTATTAACTTAAGTGAATTTTTGCGGAACATTATTTTATTTGGATATAGCGATACAATAAAAATTTACAAGATAGGCAAAATACATGTTTCCACCTTATGTGCATTGCACAAAGTGCTTTTGAGAACTTTTAAACTTAACTACAAAAGAAACATTCTTACAGTACAAAATACACAGTGAGGAATTGAAAATTTTTCGTTAAATTGTGCCTCACTCCAGGAGCATTCAAAATAGTGCTACAACAATTTGTTGCAAATGAAATTCTGTGGGCATTTACTTGCTGACAGAGAAAAATAAAAATTTGTATCTTGAGAATTAATGAAATTTCTTCTTTCATAAAAATACAACTAGGCGCAACGCTTAAGGCATTATGCATTCAGATACATTCATCTCGTTTTAGGTACAAATGATAATAATTGCAAGAAAAATATTATGATTAAAGAGAAAAACTAAGTACATATGAAAATTACAAACCCAACTGTGATCGATAATTTAAACATTCCTACACATAAATGAAAGTAACAAAAATAATAACAAGCAACAAGTTTAAAAAAAAAAAAAGCACTGAATGTTCATTTGTAAATTCTATAGTACGTACAAAATTTTCAAGGCTTCACTGCCATAGATTAACTCAAAATATTTCTCTATTTCCACATACAGGATGTTCCATTACAAGAAAACCTAATCATTTTCATACTTAAACCCATAATTTTAAAAAGAGAGCATGTCCAAAAATCTTTAAAATACTTTAATCGTCGAATATGGAGCTGGAAAGGGAAACGCTCAATAGACCAAAAAAAGCTTGACATGCTTTTTGGACAAGGCCTCTCTCCATAAAAGTAAAAATATTTTTGAAGGGGGCCTTGCCCCCTGCCGCCTACGTCCCAGGTAGTGAGCGACAGGGGGCAACCTCGGAATTTAAAATAGGGCGCCAATAGTATGGTACCTTGTTGGACAGAGTCTAGAGCAATGTCACAACTGAATAAGTACTTTAAAAAAGGGCAGAAGTCCGATCTTTCGAACTCCTTTTTTTTTACATTTTTGACGCTCTTCTTACGCGACTTTTGCATTCCTGTGCGCCTGTCACTTGTGTTCCAAGTAGTGGACTGCGGCTGCTTTCTCAGATATTATGGTGAGGACAACTGTAGAGTTCAAAAATATAAAAAAAATGGACTTCCACCCTTTATAAAAATACTAATTCAATTAATAATGAAGCGATTATTGTATCCCATATGGTTCTAACTACAAATTAATAATGTTTTTTTAAGGTAATAAGTTAATAATGTTTTTCAGGGTTTTCAATTTCTGTGTATTAAATGTACTGCGCTTAGCAGAGAGGAACCAAGCCACATCAACTAATGCCAAATATAACTGAGCGATTTAATCTTTTATAAGAGAATGTTTGTGCGGATTTCTTCAATGATCTTAAGGAATTTGCGTTGTACTATGCAGAAAATTCATTGAAATTTGCAGAAAAATCCGCACAACCATTTTCATGTAAAGGATTAATTGCCAATTAAAGGCAATAGCTGATGTGGCTTGGTTCCTTTCTGCTTAACTCCAAAAGACCTACCCGAGAAACTCCTGTTTTGAAAGTGCCTGACATCAAAAAATAAATGCTATTTATTTATTCAAAATATTTGGATTAATATAAATGCACTTACAACAGAATTATCAAAGCAAAAGGTGCTAGACCATACTCTCAACTTAAATCAATACACCATATGCATTAATAACAAAGAAAAAATTATGATTATACTTACAATTAGTATTAAATTTAATAGTGAAAACAATGAAATATGAGGGCGAGTTAAGACTTGAGTAACAGAGTTGCTAGGGTACACCCCGAAAGATTCAAAACCAAAATGAAAAAGTAGATCTGATGCCTTGGTATACCAGGGTACTGTGCGCATCATTATTTAATTTTTTGCTTGAATCATTTCTTTTGAAACGAATTGGTAACGGTCAAGATGAATTAAATCAAATGTGTTTGACATCAAAGGTTGAAGACGGGTCATTCAAAACAGTCGGATGAAAGAAGCGCCACAAAAAATGTAGCGTGGACCATCATTGACCATGCGGATGACCGTCCATTACTTAGGTAGGTGATCTAAGTAAAGGAGATAGCTGAAGAGTTGAAATGACGGAGGCAATTGTGAATTTATTCCCTGCCACACAATGATCTCAGGTTATTCACTGTAAGAGCCAATACTCGTGGTCCAATAATTTAACAGAGATTCGAGCTGTCCACTTGACTTTAGAGCCCACGCCAAAGAAGTTTATGTACTTCCAGACTGCGACAGAGGATCGTCTTACATTAGTTTAGCATGGAAAGTAAATGCTGGATGCAGGAGTAAAGCTGGTGGATCTTCTATCGCAGTCTAAAAGTGCAGAAACTTATTTGGCGTGGACTCTACCAACCACTTACCGCCTAGGTTTTTAAATATAAAAATAGTAACCAAAAAGCACCAGCAGCTGAAGAAGCAAGTACCTACATATTAAGGGAAAAAACAGAATAAAAGGAAAGAAATTTAATGAACTGGATTACACTCCAAGTTGGAGGCCTTCTGATTTTCACTTGGAAGTGCTTTGAATCGCACTAAGCAGTACATTTTACCCTAAAAAAGTAGGTACTTGGCATCGACATTAGATGAGACAAACTTTTATGGTAATTATAGTACAAAATTACAATTTTAGTTCATTACTAGAAGAGATGAACAAAGGACAACAGTACAATGACCATGAATAAGGAACGTAAGTTAGTATCTTTTTAAAAAAGTCAAATATATGTTGCAAGCAAATAGTCAAATGAGGCATTTTATTACGTGCCTGGCATATAGTCAAATTTTGAAAATTTACAAAGTTTAGCATGTTTTTTTCACAAAGGCCTCTATATTTCGAACGTTTTCAAAGTAAGAATTCATCAAATTTACGAACTTTTTGTGTACATTCTGCTTTAATGTCTCAGATGTGTTTCAACTGTCAGCATTTGAACAATTCTGTATTTTATGACGGGCAGTAAATCTTCAGATAAATGATGGTCCCAGGGCTAGAGATCATTACAAACGCAATTTTAAGTTGCATATGTGTACCGTGAATTACTCCTTAAAAATTATTTTGTCTTTAAATAGCAAACGAACTAGAATCCAAGTAAGATTATTTGATAATATTGCCGAAGCGTTTGTCAAAATGCCTGACTTGACTAATTGCCTGGAACATACAGGTTCGAACTCCAATGATACCTGCTTTTTGGGTGCTCTGTCATATTCTGATCTCAACAGAATAGGCCTCAGGAGTCCTTCTGAGAGGTCTTCATCCGCCTTAATAGTACTGAGAACATATAAACATTGATTACTTGATAGAGGTATAGTGATTGATGCCCTTAACGTAGTCGGAGGGTACCCTTTTTGCAGTTTCAACAGTCTTACACTGTGTTAGAGACTTCTCTCCACAGTCACTATTTTCAATACCTACTTGTTGCAATGTGATGAAGCGATTTGAATAAAATTAGTCTGCATATTGAATAGTTTGCGTTCAACTCACACAATAAGAGCAGAAACAAAAATTAACAGGAGATGAGGTTAAGAATAATGCACGCAAATAGAGATAAATGATCTGGGTTCCAATCTTACTTTAAAAGGCCTGGCACACTTGAGCTAAACTCTGGCGTATGGTAAAGAAGGCTAAGGAATTGGGCAATGGCAGAGTCTCTTTCCCTTCCTCAGATCCTACCATGTCTCCGAAACCACAGAGGAGCCTTTCTTGTCTAGTATCTGAGGGACCTGAAGGATTGGGTGCATATGTGCATTTCAAGAAATGCATGTTTGCTTTCAGAATTACAAGGGGCTTTAGGCGCCAGAGGGGATGTTCAATCTCACTTGTAGATGCTTAAAAATTGGATTTTAGTGATGAATTTGTTACAGGACTAATTTTTCAACTAGTTTTAGCTGATATCATTGATATCTCATTTTAATGAAAAATTGTACTTGTGCGCCTTGTCATTCGAGCCCCTTATTTCTAATCATTCAGTTTCAACAATACCTACCTTCGAAAGACACTCGAGGTGAGAAAACTGCATCAGAGGGATGAGCACAGCTCTTCCTTACCAGTCACCTTGAGTCGCAAACTGAATGAGTGTTAATATAGCCATGGATATTTTTAACATTAAGCACGGAATTCTTCAAGGAGCGAGGCTGAAGGCTGAGACAGGAATTGCGTTTTTAAACTGTTTTCCGGCACCCCACACAGTAGTTGGAGTGCTTAGAGGTAACGTTAGGATGCTAATGTCTGGAAATCTTGCAGAAATCTTAGCATCAAAAAAACAAGGATGAGAAAATGAACTTGGCACAGCTCATCATATTTTTTCAACGAACGGTTAATTTTTTCCAAAATCTGGCATTGACCACAGATTCACTCAAAATATACGTATAAAATTATAAATCTCCACCTATGTCTAAAAACTGACATTTAATCTAATGCAAAATATCCTCTTTGTTTGTTTATTCTTCATTCAATTATGTAATTAATTTTTTTCATCATTTATTTATTTATTAAATCATTATTCCATCTTTCCTTCTTCAATGAGTTGGAGTAAAGAATTGAAGAGATTCAATCTTGCTATATTTTTGTGGCCGGCTAAAAAAAAACTTACTCCTTCTTTATCTCTCGGACTTCCTTATATTTTTAGTGCCACAGGGCTTCTTTTTTTACTGGGTAAAATCTGCAAATCTACTAGAAAGCATGATCATAAAATCTGATCCAAGAAATCGATGGCTTTTTCAAGAAAGTCTAAATGAGAGATGCTTGGTGTTAAATCTTAGCATCAGAAATTAATGAAAAACAACTAACATAGGCCTATACTTCCTAACCCTTCATCTTTAGTTGATAAAAGCCCAGTTTTATAACATGAAAGTTACTTTTTTTTATTCTATCGAGTGTAAGGTGAAAATTATGATAGATTCTTCAGCATTCATACAGGGTGTGCAAAAAAATATCCACCGTGAATATCTTTTTAATGTATTCGAATAGTAACACAGGGATGAGGCTAATATGGGGGACCATGGCGGAGGTAATGGTTCACTGAACAGAGTAAAAATTAAATTTTCTCAAGACATGTTGAGTTGACAGAAATTCAAGCAGAACACTTCGAACAAATCAAAAACTTTTAAATTTCACTTTATAGGGAAAAATTAATATTAGTCGTTTGCACGAATATAAAAAAATTCAAACTCCCTGCTCGCGAAAATAAACATCAGTGCAGGTCGAATCGGCCAGAGAATACTATCTTCTCCCTCTCAAGAAAAGTTTAGCAGACAAAGCCAACTCTATCGTAAAGCCTGCTGAAGTTAGTCCAGTAATCAATCAGACTTCAAGTACACTTTGGTTTTTAGGGAGCATGCAAACTCGGAATGGATGTACATAGAAATGCTTGCTTTTGAGATCATTTTGGAAATGTTTAAGGTGTCTGACATGGTCTGGATGGAATTTCAATTGAAAAACATGTTTCGTGGTCTTTGATTTCATACTATTTGGGGTCACCCGTAGAATTGCCACACGGCACACCCGGGACCTCCTCTAATTGTTAATGAGCGATCCTTAGAATAATTGTGTTTGCTTTCTATTAATCAGCGTTGTTGATAGTGTATAATGTTCCTTGTTACCGCTCATGTCTGCTTCTTGATATTCATTATAATGTATTTACTGAGGGGGGGGGACTATTTGCAGTGGTCCATATGGGAACTTAAGAGAAAATTTCAGGCAAATGATCGTTTAAAGAGGGCTAAGTTTTAGAAGGTCTTAGGACGGTTTTTTTGTAATATGGAGGGCTTAACTCTTGCACAGGACACTATTGACTTTAATTTTTAACTGCATCCTCATATCTGCTTAGAGATAGGCCACTAGTCAAGGTCTGTACTAGAAAAACCCGTTGCATGTTTTCTCTCCACAATCTTGCGCAGAAAATAATTCACACAACAAGGAATGTGGGAATCAACTCCTGAGCAAGCTATTAACGAGTATATATTTCACACAGATCAAATGGAAGGTTCATGGTAAAAATTCAATTCTTGTTTTGGAGTTGCTTTCCGTACTTACAGTTGTGAGATTCGTTTCCTTGTGAAAGAACCCCGCACAGAACAGAGGGCTCCTGGTAGATTTTGATGAAATTTAAATAGATTAAAATTACGTTCATCATCAGCACAAAGCAAAAAAAAACTAGCACGTTCGAACGAGTAGAGGCCGAGATGTTCGCGATTAAACACAAGCCATTTTCTATGCAGTGGAGACAAATGGGCGCTCCTCATTGCCTTTTCTTGCGCTTGAACACCTCAGACTTCTATCGGGAAACACCCCCTCTCCTTCAAGTGGCTGCTTAGGCAGTGTGATACGGAGTCCTCTATCTCTTGCACCTCTCCTCTGAAATGACTCAAGAGAGTTGTTAGAACAGAATCGGCAGATGCATGGAGAAGGAGGGCATACAGCCTTTGCATTAGCTGAATGTATAAGTATCTAACTGAGGTCCGATCGAAAACGCCCATCAACCAGAGGAGTAAGTCTTCCGCCATAGTAAGATATGATAAAAAATAGTCCAGGTTTAATCGCGAATATCTCGACTTCTTCTTGTTAGAATGAGCTAATTTTTGGGCTTCGTGCTAATGATGAACTTTAAGTCCATCTATTAAATTTTCATCAAAATCTACTGGGAGCCACTGAGCCCCCTGTTCTGTGCAGGGTTCTTTTGAAGAGAAACATATCTCGTTGTACTTTAATTCATACCTTGTCTAAAATCCATCAGCTTATTTTCTCCTTCCGGTCCTTCTAATTTGTAAAAATAGCATTTCGATGGCAATTTATGAGGAAATTTTTTTCTTTCACCAGTTGCCTAGTAACCTGATTATTTACATACATCAACCTATCACCTCAATAGATTCAAGGTTCTTCTTTCATTGAAAATCAATTGGCATTTAGCAACAACAGTTGATGGGACGAGCAATTATTCTGTTGGTTCTCAAAAGAGGTGCAACCATCATGTTTACATTTCTTCCACAACGTCTCTCTGCACCGCTCGTATTTCAGGGAATTTTAGGTAACTTTTTTTGTTAAAGAACCACAGATCAACAGCTATTCATCATAGACTCTTAAAAAAGTTGCTCACGATCAGTTTTTTAAAATGACAGTACTTACTCTACTACTTCCATTTAGCACTGTTATAAGCTTATTTACTTACATTGTGTCTGTTTATCTCCAGGTATTTTGAGGTCAGATATGATAATAGGGCTAATTGAATAGGGGCCTATCTGCTACAATAAATCTGGATGAATGGCCTTCATAAACTAAACATGTTCGCTGCATCTGCCAGAAATTATGAAGATTCCACATCCTGGTCAATCTCAACATACTGATAGCTGTGTATGGTTTTATCTTTTACACGCTCAAGGGGAATTTTTGTGGAGACCAAATCCAGAAAAATAAATTGCGCATGCCATTTGATTTCCTTGACTGAAATGTAGAATCTTTTACCATGTACCTATGAGAAAAAACCAAAAGTTACAAGGGGAATTCGAATCTAAGAGGCAATATCTAACTTGTGCGCCGACATAGCTTGTGTGGCAAAGAACTTTTAGCGATGCATTGACAACAATGATCAGTATTTTGTAGAAGGGAGGAGTTTAAAATGTCCATCAAATTAGGTATTATCACGTTTCAGATCAGAGCACTGCTGTATTCAAAATTACAGGACTCTTGAAAATTTAGGAGGATTGATTTCCCAAATGTTTTTAGGAAATCGGTGAATTTAAAACCGAAGTAAATCAACTAAGTCCTGCAGAGTGGTAAACATCTCTTTCTAAACCTTTCAGTAGCCTCAGTTCTGACGGCTGCAAAAGTTTATTTCGTAAAATAAAAGTAAAGGCTGAGCTCTAAAAATATCCGGAAAACCGGGGAATATGTTTTCCCAGGAAAGTCTTCTGGCTCGAAAATGCAAGAAATCAAAAGACAGCTGAGAAACAAGAACAAGAGAGACGAATCGTGCATAAACATAGTAAATTGGCCCGAAATTGTTCTCTCTTACCCACAACGAAAATTAGATCACAAAGAACAGGTAATGCTAAATACCCTTGAATGCCTAAATTTTCCCTCAGTTGTTCGTTCTGCAATTCGCCACCACTTTGATAAATGGTAGATTTGGGCCATCTTATTATTTTTGAAAAACCAAAATTTAAGTAGTTCAGAATGTTATTATAAACTAAAGTCTATATAGCTTCGCCGCATGACTAAAAATCAACTTTTAAAACTAGGAAATAAGTTCAAAAGTACTGTTTCAACTTTGAACAATTTCAACAGCCTTAGTTACTTTAAAAAGAGTACTTTTGACTTTATTTCATGATTTTAAAAGATAATTTTTGATATGATCATGCCTCAGTAATTGATCTTGAGATTGAAATTTCAATTTCTCCATAAAAATTCATCTGACGGCTAAAATTTGAGATTTTTAATCACAATATACATCATGTATTTCACCAATGCAGAGAATCTACCATAGGAACCCCCTTTAGCTATGGCAAGCACACTCACTTGTCTAAGTATGGTCAAATTTTTAATCTTTTTCTCGTGAATAGGGTATATGTCTTGAAAGATATACAGAGTCGAGAATTTCACTGTCGTTCTCCAAAATGTCTGAGTTCACTGCATTTTTTATCTTATTGAGAATAAAGAAAAACTCTCAGCAGATACATCTTTCTCTTAAAAAAACTTAAGAATGTTGAAGTTATAAATGCTTACCTTGTGCCATAAACGTAAAGCGATAGGAAGGGAAAGACTGAGGGCAAGATAACGGGTGAATTAAACTAGCGGTCTCAGAATGACTTTATTAAAAGCTTCAAAACAATTTACTGAAATACCATTGCATAAAACGAAGATATAAAATTTTCAATCCTGGTTTATTGCATGTCACCATGTTCTTCACCAGTCATTGATTATAGTCATAAAATCCGACTCAATTGTCAGTTACCATCTTTAGTAAAAAGCAATGCACAACCACGAGTCATACAGGGTTTCAGGAGGCTAACACAGTGAATGAGAGAAAGAGGACATACTTTGAGATGAGACATGGTTAGAAGGTACAAAATCAAAGGATTTATAATGTTGCTCTTAGAAATAAGACCTCGGTAAAGAATATTGATGATGAAGAGATAAGAATACTTGCAAGACTTTGTCTGGATAGTTTTCTTATCTTTCCATCTATAATTGGTGTAAAATTCAATTGCAGGAAATCAAGTACCACTATAAAAGTACCAAGATAAAAAATACTCAACAGTAATATTAGGAGTGTGTTGTCGGTGATATCAATCCATTTTTTTTTATTTCGATCACTGAACTTTGAAGGCATCGGACTAAACTTCCCACAAAGAGAGAGGATAAAGCATCCATTACTTTCGTTAGCACACACTCCAGAAATACTCGAAATGATCAAGGAGAACTATAAAGTTTCAAGCTTTTCTCTGAGTTTTTCTTTGTAGCGAAAATTAAAATTCTCCTAGGATGAAGCTTTAAAACGAGAGCATCTCCAACATTTTCAATTGAAGATACTTTAAGAATGACCTCAAATTAAAGAGGCAATTGGCCAAATACTAATCACAGCAGGGTGGGCAAAGAAAATTAGGAATAACAGACGCACTTTTTCAGATTGAGAGTGATACACTGATAGTTGATTTCCTGCAAAAGTCAACACGTAAATTATGACTTATCATTAAAACTAAACTTAACTAAAATATAAGTAAAGAAAATACCCACCAGTTATATAATAATTTAATTGTTGCCAAGCCATTATGCCAAAATTTTCATTGGGGTTGAAGCTAAAAAAGAAGAAGCAGAACAGTATAGTAATAATTTGACACAGTACGAGAATAATGGACCTAGCTTCATTTGTTTTTGTTTGTTTTGTTTTGTTTTGTTCATGTTTCTTTTGAACTACAACTCTCTGATACAAATAGCATACTACATTTATTGAAAGGGAGTCATTGTACGATATTCCATAAAGCTGTTTTAACATTTCAATCCCATGAAAATTAAATTGACAAAATTCTTCATAATTAGAACCAGATTTCTTGGAATATAGAGAATCGGGTTCTTCAGTGTTCATTCCCGGTTTGAGTATTTCGAAGGATATTATCAATTTTAGTACTGCTGTGATGGCTAATATTCTAAATTGGCGCTTTTACTGGGAGATGTCAAGGCGAAATTTTTCCGTCACAGATTTCCTCATATTGTATTATTATCAGAGTAAGTATGACATTCCAAAGAAAAAAACTATTGTTTTGAAAAGGGGCTGGTGCTCAGGGACTGTGAATGACCTCATTTTGCAGGTTTACAAAATAAATTCTTTATCCATCAGAAGGACCTGACATGTTTACGCGGTCTGATGAATGGACGGAACTTGAGCGAACTCTTGGAGGCTTTTGGATATTTTGAGAGGAATGAGGTAACTTGAGGTAACTCTGGCCATCACTAGGATATGGAAGTAAGGAGTTGCGAAGGTAAAAAATAATTTGGACTGAACGATTTGAAATTATTTGTTCTACGTTTTCTCGTTCTTTCAGCTTCTCGATTGATTCAATGCGTTCTGCTCACATTGGATGATCATCACAATTTCAATGAAAATCAAGTTAAGACATTCCTGTGCTTTGGCAAAAAATATAATTTTGAAATACTGAGCACAAAATTTAACTTGGTGTTGATGTAATGCTAAAATACCCCAGGGATAATTTTTAACTGGAGTAGGAGCCAAAAACTGAGCTTTAAGTAACTAGATTAATAGAAAAATCTTTTTCAAGACTCTTTTCTGAAATATTTAATCTGGATGACTCGCATGGAAAAAAGCAAGGAGGGAGAGGATTTACGGATACGTATGAAAAGCCGATTAAAGAAATCCAATAATACTAACCATTAAAAATTAAAGAATTGCAGAATAGAATCGCAATAATAGGATTTCTTCAGGAAAAAGTGGAGACATGATTCCTGACAGCTGGAAAATAAAAGAAAATTCAGTACTACCGGAAAGATATGACAAAACACACATTATAAGGATAGCACTCAAATTATTATCAGATCAAATTGGAGGGGAGAACTGCAAAGGATTGCTTGAAAGAGCACTTTAAAAAATGTCTTTATCCATTCAGATAAGAAAAGTATACCTCCTGGAATGTTATTGAATTAAATAAATGATCACTAACAGCTATAACCTTCGACAAACCTGGTAACAATTTGAGCACTTCCTTTCAAAAAGTTTATGTTATCCACTTCCATGGTGATAAACTGACACTGATTTGTTTAGTATTGAACCAAGTTATAAAATATAGCTCTTTCATAGTCTATAGACACATTGACGACAATGCCTGCTAGTATTTTTGATTTTGGAATACGCTAGGCACTAGTGACAAATGATTGATCAAACTCCACATGATGCAACATTGATGTAATAATTTGAGAGATCAAGTAATTTCTGGCTCTGATTGACAAAGAGCAGGGATTCAATTTAGAGAGTCCCAGATACTAGCAACTGCCAGGGGACATGTTGTACGATTACTTAAATGCTATGCAGCACCTCTGTTGTCAATGTGTTTAGACATAAATGAACCATGTCAGCCATGGCATGTTGAGTGGTGACATTGTTTTGTTGTCTTCCGAGCAATAAGAACAAAATTATTCTAATTGCTTTTTGTAAATACTGACAAAGACTTTATCCTGTTTAGAGCAAACTATCCCAATCTCAACACTCATTAACTTAACTCATGGAGCATTTTGGCATGCATATGAATTCTGATTTGGGAAACTGGATTCACCATAAGTCAAGGATAGTTGGTTTTATACTGAATTCATGAAGGCTTTCAACTTCTTTATCCTGTGCAAATTTTAGAGGTATCTACATAATTGTGAACAGCCACAGTGAATCAGTCAAATATATCTAGGATTAATTGCATCAAATTCATACTCAGTTATAACGTGCACTTACAATAAGTTTCCCAATATAGGTATAAACTTCTTGTTGTAGAAGAGAAAATAAGAAAGTATGTGTAAAAGAATTTTCACAGAGCTTAATTTAAAGAAAACACTCCTAAAAGTCAAGATAGGCATAATTTTTAAGGAGTCACCTAACGATAGAATCAGTGAGTAAAACCCATCTATTTTAAAAGAGAAAACTACCATTAAAATAACATATCAATGGTGAAATTCCTACACGATGTGACTCCGTTTGCAAAGTTGTAGACTTGCTAACATAGGTACTTTATTTTTGCAATGTAAAACTACTTGTTACAATCCTTTACAACTGTGATTTTTCTTCTCTGTGCGGAGAAAGTTCTGTGAAAACTTCAAAGAATGATGCTGAATGGTTCCCAGTTGAAAAATGAAATTATATAACGTAGCCAACGAGATCCTTGGTTTGGGAATTTCACCACCAATAGAGGAGGGAAAATGCTGCCAAAATGCTTCACTGTTTAAATTAAGCTTAAAATTAACCTAAAATTACAGAGGTCATACTAAAAATTAATGCAGAAGGCTTTGGACGCATTATTGACCGAGCAAATCTTACTTAAAATTGGTCTAATCAATCAATTAGCCTACCAAGAAAAACTTTATTTCTTAGTCCATGGCATCTACATACAACATTTCCATAGCCAACCACAAAAATAATTAAGTGCTGAACCTCACCTAAAAATGACACAGGAGTGCAGAATATGCTGGCAGCACCAAGTTAAGTTTGGACTATTTGGTAAAAGTCTGGCTGGTCATAGTCTTCTCTTGATTTATAATTTTTAGTTTTGAGTTGTTTCCACTATTTCCGTGGCTGAAGGTGCCTTAAGATGATGATCTTGCATAAACTCAGAAGCTCGAGAAGTTTCAAACTTTCTCAGATTTAAATGATATTATCAAAACTTTGAAATTCAATTTAAATTTTCCAGCAGCTTGTGACAACTAGTTCTTGAAATATGTAAAATTTTCAGGTTCATGATGAGACTTCAAAACCAAGAGACTCTTTTTCGATATCGAACTGAACTTGAGGGCAAAAGACTATAACTGAGTGCTTGACCCAGCACACTGTGCAACCCTGAACCATTTACGGGTGTCTAAAAAAGCCATTGAGCCAGATCACTATTAAAGGCATATAATAGCATGACGTATCATTTGTCCAAGGTTCAAAGCTCAGAAAATTGAACGTGAAACTGTTAAAAGTGAGGAGCATTCATACGACTCAACGGATTTTGCATGCTAAAAAAAAATTAATCTTAATAGTAGAAAATAAATTAAGGTGCGAGCAACATGATAAAACCTTTGAATAGAGACCTCAGAATTGATAAGTTTTAAATGAAAGGAGGAGACTGAAGTATTAATTGAAATAGTTTTGTAGGAAAGGAAGGGAAACAGCTGAAGCGACAATGGCACAAGGTAACATCAGAACGCATCCTCTACAGACTGTTGAATGATGGTGCACCAGTTTCTATTGGAGGTTGGAGAAAAACAGGCTGATCACGTCATAGCTGTAAAAAGTCTGACAGAAATATTTAATAAAAAATGCAATAACCTGAAAATCAAGACAATTCAAGCTTAAAAAATGTGATGAGATCTACAGACTTGGCTAAGCAGAAAGGAACTGACGAAATTTCCGCTACAGGCAAGTTTTAAGCCATTTTGATAGAAACTACATTGAACTTTTCTCACAGCAAAAAATTACTTAAACTGATAGGTCATTGTTAAAGTATGTGTTGAAAAGCAAGTCCCCAAATAGGTCAAGTAGAAGACTAAAATGTATGGAATTTTTTTCTTGAAAAAAAGAAGAGTTTAAATGAGTTAGTTAGTATTCAAAACTGTTGACTGCAGCAGCTTTTATAGAGGGGACTCCGAGAGGATTTTCAGTTAAAATCTTTAGAGTAGGAGGGTTAAACAATTCTTGTGTTGTAAAGGCATGATCACAAACCTCCTAAATAATCAATGCTTCTGATTACACAGTGAAGAAAAAGTACATACACAGATTGCCCTTCGAAATTCAAACTTCTTTGCATCAGGTACCCAGTTCTATTAGTCCAGATTGTTTTCACTTCAGTTTTGGGGTTCAAGTCCAAATGTAAGGAATGAGGAGAAATAAATAATAAATTAAAGCTAATAGTGATTAATAATGTACAAATAGTTTTAACAAAATTTGATCCAACAAAATGATCAGAGCTCACTCATTGAATACTAGGACAGAGGTACACCTAGGTTTTCAACGACCCTCATACGTAGTGCCATCTAACTGCATGTATTGACCTGACTTTCATTTCATTACGCAATGAGCAAGCTCTGGGAATTGAAAAAGCTGAGAACCTCTAGGATGCTCACCTGCCAATCTCGGGGACTGAGGACTAGTCAAAATTTGAAAAATAGGTAATACTTGAATCTACAGATCCAAAATGAAAAAGTAGTGTACTTAAGTAAGTAACAAGAAATTAGCCTCCCATCTGGATGATGAGATCTTGGGGTGAGAGAAAGTACAGGGTTCTTCAGCTCAGTTCTTCCCAATTTCAGATATAATAAGTTGCAGCCTAAGCTATGTACTCTTTCTGTCAGAGCATTGAAATTTACAGACTCGAAGAACAACTGTTCACACTTAATAAGAAGATAACAAAATTAGTGACTCACTGTTTCACCAGCACTGCTCCGCAAACTTGCGTCCAATAGTTCAGGACATGTGTACTTCGCACAATGGGAACAAAATTCCATTGAGATTCCTGATACGGTTGAAACATGCAGGCATATTCCAATATCATCAAGCCTTGACGAGGAGTCAGGATCCACTGTGGCAGAGTCTTCAACTTCGATGGTGGGTAGACTGAATAGACTTGATTCTTCGAAGCTTTCTGGTAAATCAAAATTGAAAAGATCACTAGCTGATGGAAAAACAGTTTTGAAGGTCATACTTTCATCATCAGAGAAACCTGAACTGGAATTAGAGGGATTAAATTGATCGTTTAGAATTTCGTCCATTGTATTAGAGTCAATCCTTAAGTCAGAGTAAGTCTCGGCTCTGGTCTTCTGAACTCGGGGGATATAGCTAAGGGAGTTAACATTTTGTTGGTTAAAATTAGTACCTTTTAATTCTAATGGAAAAAGATGTTCGTTGGTGAAATCAACATCCATTGGGGGTTGCACTGGCGTACCACAGGACTTGAGATTTTTGACAATGGCACCCAGTTTGGATTCGTTCCTCAGGACAGCTTTCAGATATTCAACTTCTTTCTGTAGCACTTGCACTTCACTTGACTTTTGACGATATTCAGCTTGCCATCTTTTGCACTCATTCTTGTAAGCGTCTAGACTTTCTTCCAAAGATTGCATGTACTTTTTCTTCTTGATACGGTTGATGCGGGCATTGATAGCATTCTTCGACTGATGCTTGTGGGAAGCTCTGGACAGCTCCTCCTCAAGAATACTTTCATCGTCTTCAATAGACCGTTTTCTGCCTTTCCTGGCGGCGATTCTAAGACTTTTGCTTCTTGCCGATCGATTTGAGGACGATTGCACCATGTTGCGCGGAGAGCTGGCTGGGAAGGACAGCCCATCATCCTCTGAAAAATCCGATTCACTTCCAGTGAAATTTAGTAAATTCAGATTGTTTTCCCGATAAAGATCTTCACGTGGGGATTGATCGGATTCGCTTGTCGATTTTGAGCATTCAACGGCGGAATCCTCGTCAGATTTCAGAGAAACTTTCGCCATTGCAGAAGTGGGCTCGAACACGAATAACAACGTATGTAGAACAAGTCACACGAACTAGATTTTTCAAGTCGCACACAGCTTGATTGATAACAATTAAATGAAAACGTCAAACTGTGTACGGTAGAGAATCGAACACAATCACTAACACCCGAGAATGTTGGGAATTAAAGCTATTAAACTCAAAGTTTGGGGAGCAAGGTACATGGAACAAGCAAACTTTTCAGCGAATGAAAGCCAAGATGGCCGTCTTCGCAGGGGAAAAGTGGGACAGAGGAATGGAGGAGGGAGGAGTATGAACGTTTCAAAACGTTATCACGAATATACAGTGTTGCCAGTGTTGCGAGCTGTGCACGAAAACTACAGTTTAGTGATGGCGATTCTCTTGGATCGATTAGAGTACGGATCGATCTTCCAAATGATCAGTTCTCCGATACCCAAAGATCGATAGGATCGAAGAATCGATTCTTTCAATGATCTTTCGCGTGGCTCCGCTGCTATCGATGTATCGATTGAGTGGAGTTACGAATGAAACGTGGAGAAACGATTTTGATTTAAAACGCGTAATACTCAAAATCGAAGCTCAGATTCGGATTCCTCGTAAAAAATCGATGCGATTTCGCGTATAATACCCTGACACCGAGTTTCACAAAAATCCATCGAACAGGAGCCGAGATAACATTTTTAGCCACGTCCGTCATTTCGAATTTTTGAAGTTGGAAAATGTGACTTAAAACGCACGATACCCAAAATCGAAGCTCAGATTCGGATTCCTCGTTAAAAATCGATGCAATTTCATGGATCATACCCGAGCGTAGCGTGGAGGAAAGAGACGCAACGTAGGCATACTGATTCGAGCATATGAATGCAACGCGGCAACATGGGTAGTGCTCAGTGGGTCAGCGGAGGAGGAAGAATAAGAATTTATCGTGGTGAGGAATTCCTCGGGACGAAACCGAACGCTCAGCCGGCGCTTTTAAGTGGCGCCTCCCCGCGTTCGGTTTCACTCGGGCGACAGGCGGCGGCGTAGTTCAAAGGGGCAGTATGACAGAATCTATACGCGTCGTTAAACCTTTTTCCTTCACGCTATTCTAACATATGATACATGAAATCTCATCGATTTTTCACGAGAACTCCGAATCTGAGCTTAGATTTTGGATATTACGCGTTTTAATCTATTTAAAATCGTAGTAGAAATTACAGAATTGTCCTTGAAAATTGATCACACATCATTAGTGTTTTTATACGTCATTAAACCTCTTTCCTTCACGCTATTCTAACATATGATGCATGAAATCGCATCAGTTTTTCACGAGGAATCTGAATCTGAGCTTGGATTTTGGATATTACGCGTTTTAATCTATTTAAAATCGTAGGAGAAATTACAGAATTGTCCTTGAAAATTGATCACACATTAGTATGTTTTTTTACCCCGTTTTTCTTCTGTGTTCACGTAATGAAATTAGACCAACAGTTGACTCATCGACTATAGTCTAGCCTAATCCCCCAGAATCGGTCTAAAAGGCGAACGATTTCATCAGATAAGATGTGCGGTCCTAGTTTCCGGGCAATTGCGATTTGGTGGAAGCTGCGATCAGGCCCGCCACAAGGGGGGGGGGTGGGTACTGGGTCCCTGGTTCCGCGGGCCCTGGAGGGGCCCGTGCCACTGGTGAAAAACCACTACGAATTCAGATGTAGGTAACCCTTGTCTCGGAAGGAAAAGTGAAAAATTTACCATAAAAATTTCGCAAAAGGTGAATAAATTTTTAAAAAATGCTGGGGCACTGCGGAATTTTCCTTACTGCTTTGAAGATTTCTATCTATTTTCAACAATTTTAGTATAAGTTGATATTTATTAGTAACTGTGTTTCATTTTCTTCCGTCGTCGGATGCTAAGAGTCTCCAGTCTGGGCATCCACGAGTTCCATGGCTCAACTTCCTTGCCATAGACGTACGGAAGAGGAGTCCAGGGCATGGACCATGTCCAGGGAGGCTTGGACCACCCTAGAATTGAAAATAGTATCATCTGCCCCCCCCCCCTCCCGAAAAAAATTTCCAGGTGTTTTGAATGCAACAATCCGAAAGTATTTTGTGCTAAAAGTAAAAAAAAAGCGTAATTATTCTGCAGAAATTGATGGAAAATCTCCGTTATGGGAGCTTCAAAATGCGTCCAATACAAGTAGATTTAAAATTTTAAAAATTTCCCAGGGGAGGCCCCCGGACCCCCTCTGTGCTGGGGGCCCGGGCCTTAAAACTGGTACCAGGGTCCGGAGATAGGATATGGTGGGCCTGCATAGAATAATAGCTCATTTGTCTTGCCATTCTTTTACTGGCATCAAACAGTTCAAATTGATGAAAAAATACAATAGGCAATGAATTAAAAATAAATCGACGGTGTAAGTCGGCAATCACATAACTCGTTTACGGTGTCTGAAAATCTCCGCCTCTATGTTAATTTTTTAAAGGCGAACAAATTGATATCATTCCTCGAAGCTTTTGCAGAATTTTCTTCGCACAAAGAAGAAAAATCAGAGGCAGTTTTAAGGAATTGCCGTTGAGTAGTTTTCCGTTTAAAAAATAAATTATGACAGGAAGTCTGCGACGTTGCAAACCGAGTTATGTGATTGCCGACTTACACCGTTGAAATGTGATTTGAAGGGAAGGGGGTAGGGAACACGAATTATATATGACTTTTCAATATCTTTAGCTGTTTCACAAGCCTCTGGATGTAAAATAGACAGTTTCAAAAAGTGAATTTAATTTCATGTTTTATCGTGTTTCATTTTAGAATCTTTTATGAAATTTCGCAACTCTGCCCGCCACCACCCTATAGTCAAGGCGGATAAAAAATGGTGGTGGTCGCATTTCGTACCGTCTTGACGTCACACGGCATTGGGTGCCGACGTTTCTAGAGTACCTTTATCGTACCCTCTGTGCGTCACAGTCTTTAAAATGGCGACTCAACTCGAAATGCGACCACCTTTTTTTATCCGCCTTGCTCTACAGTTATCACTCCCTACGATTGAGCGTTTTTGCAGGCAAAGACCCCCTACGAATGAGCAGGCGATCACAGAGCGGGAGTAGCTGGTGGAGCGTGCATGAAGCTCGCTCGGACTCCATGATTATACTCTGTTGCTCTCTCCTCTCCTCTACTCTTTGCACATCACATAATGGCGCCAAGCACAAATTTCACTCTCGGAGAAAAATTAAACTGCTCAGCTCAGGGAATTGACCTTTTTGATCGGGATTAAATTTCTAAAAGAGTTCAAACCAAGTACTAACCAGGG